TCCTGGAGCGGCGGAGTGGGGCTCGGCTCCGCGGGGCGAGGGCGTCGAGCCGGCTCTGCGTGGCCTGGGCCGCGCGCTCACTCCATCCTCGTCCAGCCGACGCTGAAGCGACAGCCACTGCCGGCCCCGCTGGCCACGCCTTTATGTGGGGCGCCCCCGCGGCCGGGCGTGTGTGCTTCGGCAGGCGACGCAGGTGGCGCCCACCAGAGGGCTACGCCAGGCTGAGGCGGCGCAGAGCCGCCCCCTGGCAGCGGGAGAGTCATTAATCAAACCGCAGGGAGGTCCAGACCCGGCCCGCCCCTCCGCCCTGCGCCGGCCCGGCTCTCCCCGAGGCGCCACGCGGAGGGCGCCGCGGAGTTGGCGGCAGTGGGGTTGGCCTGGGCTCGGTACAGCCGGCGAGGCCTCGTGAGTCACCTCGCCCCGCCGCCGTCGCACCGCCTCAGGCCCAGTCTGATTCCGGGCTTCTAGGCCGGCGCCCAGCTGAGGCGGGAACGCTGCCGTTTGGTTGCGCGTGGCTTTTAATTTTCCGTGAGGAAATGTCAAGTGTGCCACATCGAGGTTCTAACCTTTCATCCCACCACAAGGTAAAACGTTTCTTGCTTCCCTAACCACCTGAAGCAGGAGTCCCCCTCAGTACGCCGTGGCCAGATTACGGAGGCGCTCGGAGGCAAACTGCCTTTCCGTCAAGACCCCGAGCGTTCCCGTTGTGATACTGTAGGAAGCTCCCAAACCGCCGCCGCGGCCCCGGGGTGGCGTCGCTCCGCCTGGGGAGCGCGCACCCGGGCTGGCCGCCTTCGTCGCCGCTGCGGAACCTCCGCTCTTACATTATTTGGACGGAAAATTCGTTCGTGGCTTTGCACTCGTGGACCCCCGGGAAGCGTGGCGACGGCGGTGCGAGAAGGGTCCGATCCAGGGATCCTTCGGAAAGTGGGCGCCGCGGCCCGAGCGCTCCGCGCGGACGCCCCCGTCCTCCGTGGTGGCTTCCGCGGGTCCTGGACGCGTCGCCTTCTTTGGGGGACGTCTGAGTGGGCGCGAGATACTTTCCAGCGACGTAATTAGGATACACTCGAAACAATGCCAACAATTTAAAGAGCAGGACATTTTCTTTTTGGGGTCAAAACGTAATAGCAAATTTAAAATGTCACCAAAGGAAACTACTCGTGAGCATGCAACATAATCTCATACTTTCCAGTAGATTTCTAAATTGGAACTGTTGTACCAAGCGGTCATTAGTAATGGTGGCGCTGTTTGGATGTACCGGCCCACACATTATGTTAGTGAATCAGAATGAGCCTTAGTCTTTAATCTCAATTTTCCTCCGATAGCCGTAATTAGATTTGCACTTTAGAAAGCGGCACACCAAAATTGCATTGATTCAAAAAGGATTTCTATCCCTGGTGGTCTAGTGGTTAAAAAAAAAAAAAAAGAAAAAAAATAAAAATAAAAAAGACAAAAAGGATTTCTATTGCTGAGCGAGAAAGCCCATCTTTCCTCGGTCAAGTGTATGTGATGAAGTATAAAGCAATTACTAGATCCTTGAATTCACACGTGGAAAGCAACGTTTCAGGTTGTATAAAGAAGCAAATCAAACAGGAACTTAAAAGTGTGTGTGTGGTTTTTTTTTTTATGTAATGAGATACTGTAAAACTACAAACCCACAAAAGATGTTGCCTAGTCCTATAAAGTTTTTTTTAAAAAAGTCAAACGTTTCAGATCACTTGAGGCTGAATTTACTTGCTTTCTACAAATAAATTTTCTTATACTTTTGTGTCATCGGGAAGGTGAGGTTCATGCACATCATTTTTTGTCAGCAAGCTTTCAGATTTGTTCAAAGAGAGGTTCCTGTATTTATAGAGAGAAAAAAAAAAGCCTTAAATTTAAGAAATGAAAGTACCACAAAAATGTAGCAAGCATATAGAATCTAGGACACAATAACAATAGTAAAGGCTAATGATTAATCACCAAACTTGAAAACTTTAAGTACATTCTACCTATATATAAATAATTGTGCAAAATGAGTTTTCTTGGCTAATTCTGTACAATACAGAATTTGAATGCAGTGTTTAATCAATTCACTCAACATACATGCCAATCTACTATGAAATTACATTAAAGAAATATAGTTTTTCTAAAATTCTTGGTAGGGGTCCAGTCCATGATAATTAACCTTTATTTAAACAGACTGAAATAGTATCCCTGGGGTTCCTACTTGTTTTACAAAAAAGTTTCAACAGTTTTCCTAGAATCGCTTTGGAGCAGATAATTCCATTACTCCATTTAATGCATGAAATCCTTTAAACACCCATAAAATACAATAGAAGGGTAATTATGTAAATTAAAACACTTACGTTCTCAAAGGACATAAATATAACTCAGTATTAAAATGTATCAGGACATGCAACCAAGTCCCATTTCTCACCTTGGAAGGCAGCACAAATCCTTAGACTGCCTCCTGCACAGGGCCTCGAGCCCCTACCCCAACCCCCAGGTTTAAACACCTCACCCGCTACCTGCGAACTGTAAGGAGCAGTCTCTCGTAATGGGGACCTCGCCACCGGTGCCCGTGCAGGCCACGGCCGCTCTCCTGGTCGGTCCCCCGCCTCACTCGTAGGGAGGAGTGAGGGCTCCGTGGCATCTACTCAGACAGTGACAGACAGGGCAGGCCAGGTTGTCCTGCTCCCGCAGGGCGCCCTGCCCGCTTACCTTGACAGGGTGCAGGTAGCCGTCGCCGCGCAGGGCGCCCAGTCCCGGGTCCGCCGGCGCCTCGGCGTCGTCCTGCAGGCTGCGGGTGAGGTGCGCGATGTAGGTGGTAGCCAGCAGTAGCACGTCCAGCTTGGACAGCTTGGTGTCGGGCGGCACGGACGGCAGCGTGCGCTGCGGCTCCAGGAAGGCGTGCCGCAGGGTCTGCACGCGGCTGCGCTCCCGCGCCGCGTTCGCCGCCGCCGGCCGCCCGCCTGCGGAACGGCGCGCCGCCCCGGCCGGCCGTCCCGGTCCGCCGGGCTCGCGTCGCGGGTGGCGGAGGCCGCGGGAGCAGGCTCGGCGCCGGCGCTTACGCGGCTGCTCGCCGGGCGTCGCGGTCCATGGCGGCTTCCCGCGCAGCGCGCGCTGCAAAGGGCGAAAGCGCCGTGAGGCGGGCGCCTCTCTCTGCGCGCCCGCCCGCCTGCCGCCGCCGACGTGGCTCGGGGCGCTCTCCGGGCTCCTTCTGCACCCGGCGCGTTTTCTCCTGGCGTCTGGGGAGAGCCGGTTCCCGGGCTCCTCAGAAGGATAGGAGGGGCGCGGTGCCAGCTTTACTCCATAAAGGACAAACTAAGCGACGGGCTATTTCACCCACGGAGAAAGATCTCATCTCGAAGCACAGCTCGGGTTAGGCACTTGCTCTCCGTGGCAACGCAAATCTGGCCAGCCCCTCAGGAAGGCGCGGGTCGTTGGCGCCGCGGCACGCCAGCCGCCCTCCGGCCACTCACGCCGGGGGAATTCCTGCCGAGGAGCGCGGGACCCCTAGCTTACCTCGGACTAGGCACCCGCACCGCTCGGAGCGCGAGCCCGCGTCAGAGCCGGGCCTTACTCCTTGGGGCGGGGGGGGGGTGGGGCTCGGCTGCGGGGCAGGGCGTCGAGCCTGGCTCTGCGTGCCCTGGCGCGCCGCTCCACTCCCATTCTCGTCCAGCACAGAACCAAACAGCCACAGCCGCCACCCCACGCCCTTTTATGTGGGCGCCCCCGCCGCGTGTGTCGGCAGGGACGCAGGTGGCGCCCACAGGGGGGCTACGCCAGGCTGAGGCGCCGCAGACCCCCCTGGGCAGCGGGAGAAGTCTTACCCGGGGGTCGCAGAGCACGGCCCCGCCCCTACCCCATTTTCATAAGCATACAAATCTCATGCTCAAATCTCAAATGTAATTTGACAATTATGTGACAATTATAAAACTAAAATCAAATAAAATCAAAATATCACAGAATGCTTGCCTAGTGGTTCTCATGTATACTACCCAGGCCCCACTGTGTTGAGAATTGCTCTGAATCATTCAACCAAGTGTGGAGACAAATGAAGGCATCTGTCTCTTTCATCTTTGCTAGGATATAATTAATGAAGCAAACCTAAAAATGTGTATGTGGATTTTTGCCTCATTTTTCATAGATTTTATAAAATACAAAACTTTCCTTTGTAAAAACTTTTATGTCCTTGATTTTCAAAAGGCCTGTAATGATTTTAATCAACTTACTGTAGACACATAACAGTTTTAAGAATTAGGAATTAAAATGAAAATAGAATACTGGTTAGGTTGCATGTCACCTTGATGCCAAAAAAGCCAGTTGACTGATTCACATTTTATTTTTCAATGGTTTGTTTTAGCATTGTGTAGATTAGCACAAACCTTAGCTCTGCTTTCCCTGGTAAGGTATGTTTAAAACCATGTACAGTAGTTTCATTGAGCTTAGAAAAACCTAGCAAACTCACAATTAACCAGAGCTGAGCCTGAAACTGAAGACCTTAAAAATGCACTCTTGGTGTAGTTAAATGACCCCAAAATAACAAAACCTTGTGTTTATTTTTTAAATTATTATTTACCTATATTATAAACAATAACACTTAAGGGGTATGGCAATTAATAAAGTCATCTGTGCTTTTCTGCCAATGTAAAGAACTGAAATATACTCCTGTTCTCTTTTAGATTCACCACCCTTAGGGTGACTGGTGCTGATCAAAATTGCTAGTACCCCAAAGAGATAAAAACTGCTGTCTTCGGCTATGCCCCAGGATCCCAGTCTCTTAAACCTTCCAGTTTCATTTGAGATACTCTTAAAGTAAATCCTCAACAGTGCTAACAATACTGATAATAAGGACTGATGATTCAAAATCATAGCTTTGAAATAATTGCTAATATATCTTTGATAATCACAGTAAGACTATCATTAGAGTAACACTATGTTGTAAGGCAGAAAAATAAAGTCATTTCAGAACACTTTTTACTATGGGATACAACAGTTTATTATAATGAGCCTTTAGTTACCCCAAAAGTACAAATAATGAGAATATTTTTCTTTCTTTTGCATTAATCAAAGATAGTCTTAACATTTAAATATTTTATTATCTTAAAATAATGTGTTAACAGGCAGTTTCAATTATGTATATAAAATCTCTTCCCTCTGATCCTTCAAAACACATGATTATAGTTCTTTTATAACAAATGTAACATTTTCCCATACAGTACTGTTATTTGTATTTTTGTTTTCATCTCTGTAATATGTTCATTTAGGAGAGGGACTGAGTCTTACTCATAATTGTATTCACTCTCCTAAAATAGTGCTTTGCACATAGTAGGAATTCAATCAATGTTTGATTTTAAAACTTGTTTTAGTTACTTGTTCAACCATCAATTTCTTTTTAAGACATAACCTTTGGTCTTGTATCATTATCTCTACAGATGTCTTTTAAAATAAAAATAGTTAATTCAGAGGACAAATGAGATTTGCTTTTTCTCAAAATAGTTATGATTATAAAAACATTTGATACATGAATCAAGTGCAAAAAACATCTGGCTATGCTTATTGTTACATGAAAATGTTTCTAACATTATTCAAAAAAGCACTGCAAGAAACTAAGGTGAAAAACCACTCTTGATATCTCATTCTGAATTATCTCTCTCACGAAAGAGAGCATTTAACAGTTTCTCTTTGTACTAAAATATACTTAATGTTAAAATAAACTTTTTTAGAGTATATGGTAAATGTCAAGTCAAAAGAAACCTAACATTAATGGTATATTTGAATAGCAATCTAATGTACACTATGAGACCCCTTAATTAGTAATGAGTGACTTTTTTGCTGAGATTATGCTATAAAACTCATGAATAGGATAGGATCTATCATAACTATAAATATTTTACCTTTTTACATTTAATGTTTGAAATGGTTAAAGTCTATCATCATTTTGATTATATTTCCAAAGTAAATTTTGTTAAACCTCACTCACTAAATATGGTAAAGCACACACTCTAATTATTAACTGATATGACATTGTAATAAATTAATTGTAATCTACAGTTAAGTTCAGTTGATATTAGAGGGTGTGCTTTACCATATTTCAATAATGATTACTTAATACTTTATTGAAACTGATATGTTAAGGCTGAATCCTAACTTTGTATTTGTGTGTGTGTGTCAAAATACTTCAGAATAGTAGAAACAAAACTTTGACAGTTTAGCTTTAACAAATATAAAGATGACACTTTTTGAACAGAAAGCCCAATCAGTGTAAGTTTTCAAAACAAAGCTAGGAGAAAAGGATGATGCAAAGACTAAATACTGCAATATAGGTAATAAATCATAAACGTATATACCATATCAAGTGAAAACTTTAAGTTACCATTCTACCTATATATAAAGTAATTATGCAAAATGAGTTTTCTTGGCTAATTCTGTACAATACAGAATTTGAATGCAGTGTTTAATCAATTCACTCAACATACATGCCAATCTACTATGAAAATTACATTAAAGAAATATAGTTTTTTCTAACATTCTTGGTAGGGGTCCAGTCCATGATAATTAACCTTTATTTAAACAGACTGAAATAGTACTCCCTGGGGGTTCCTACTTGTTTTACCAAAAAAGTTTCAACAGTTTTCCTAGAATCGCTTTGGAGCAGATAATTCCATTACTCCATTTAATGCATGAAATCCTTTAAACACCCCATAAAAATACAATAGAAGGGTAATTATGTAAATTAAAACACTTACGTTCTCAAAGGATCATAAATATAACTCAGTATTAAAATGTATCAGGACATGCAACCAAGTCCCCATTTCTCACCTTGGAAGGCAGCACAAATCCTTAGCTGCCCCTGCACCGGCCTCGAGCCCTACCCCAACCCAGGTTAAACACCTCACCCGCACCTGCGAACTGTAAGGAGCAGTCTCGTGTAATGGCCCCTCGCCACCGGTGCCCGTGCAGGCCACGGCCGCTCTCCATGGTCGGTCCCCCGCTCCACTCGCTAGGAGGAGTGAGGGCTCCGTGGCATCTACTCAGACAGTGACAGACATGGGGGGGGGCGCCCGCGCGGCCAGTGCGCCTTCGGCCCCGCGGCGCCTCCGTTCGACAGGCTGGGTAGCGTCCGCGCGCAGGCCGTCCGGCCGCGCGCTCGGCGCTCGCCCTGCGCGCTGCGGTGCCAGGCGCGAATGTCCGCCGCTGGTCGCAGCAGCTAGCCCGTCCAGCTTGGCCCGCTTGGGCTTCGCGGCACGCGCGCGCGCGCGGCGCTCCAGGACGGCGTGCGGGCTGCCCGCTCCCGCGCGCGCCGGCCGCGCCGCCGCGCCTCGCGGACGCGCGCCGCCCCCGGGCGCGCGTCGGTCGCGCGTCGCGCTCGGGCTGCCGCGCGCTGCCGGCGCGCAGGCTCGGCGCGGCGCATTACGCGCCCTGCTCGCCGCGGTCCGCGGTCCATGGCGGCTTCCCGCGCAGCGCGCTGCAAACGGCGAAACGCTCGTGAGGCGGGGCGCTCTCTCGCGCGCCGCCCGGACTGCCGCCGACGTGGCTCGGGCGCTCTCCGGCCTCTTCTGCCCGGCGGTTCTGTCTCTGGCGCTGGGAGCGACGCCGGGTTCCCGGGCTCCTCAGAAGGAAAGGAGGGGCGGGGCAGCTTTCACCTCATAAGAGAGACAAACTAAGCGACGGCTATTTCACCCACGGAGAAAGGAGCTCCTCCGGAAGCACAGCGGGTTAGGCACTTGCCCATGTTGCAACGTTAATCTGGCCCAGCCTCGGGAAGGTGGCGCGGGTCGTGGCGCCGCGGCACGCCAGCCGCCTCGGCCACCCCGCCGGGGGAATTCTGCCGAGGACGCGGGACCCTAGCCCTTACCACGACAAGGCCCTCCACCGCTTGGAGCCGCGACTCGACGGCTTACTCTCCGGACGGCGGAGATGGGGCTCGCTCAGCGGGCGAGGGGCGTCGAAGCCGGCCTGCGTGGCTGGGCCCGCGCGCTCACCTCCATCCTCGTCAGCGACGCTGAGAAGCCGACGCACCTGCGGCGCTGGCCACGCCTTTTATGTGGCGCCGCCCGCGGCGGCGTGTGTGCCTTCGGCAGGCGACGCAGGTGGCGCCCACCAGAGGGCCTACGCCAGGGCGAGGCGGCGCAGAGCCGCCGCCTGGGCGCGGAGAGTCATTTAATAAACGCAGGAGGTCAGACCCGCCCCGCCCCTCCGCCCTGCGCGCCGGCTCCCGAGGCGCCACGCGGAGGCGCGCGGAGTAAACACAACACAAACAGACACACATGGCGGCAGTGGGGTTGGCTGGGCTCGGTAACATGCCGGCGAAGGCTCGTGAGTCCCCTCGCCCGCGCCGTCGTACCGCCTCAGGCCGTCTGATTCGGCTTTCTTCTAGCCGGCGCCAGCTGAGCGGAAAGCTGCGTGTGGCCTTGGCGCGTGGCTTTTTAATTTCGTGAGCAGTATCGAGTGGCCCACATCGCGGTTCCAACTTTCATCCACCACAAGGAAAAGTTTCTTGCTTCCTAACCACCTGAAGCAGGATGCCCCGTCAGTACGCTGCAGATTACGGAGGCGCCATCGGATGCAAACGGCCTTGTCCGTCAAGCCCCGGCGTGTTTCCGTTGTGATACTGTAGGAAGCTCCAAACCGCCGCGCGGCCCGGCTGGCGTCGCTGCCGCCGGGAGCGCGCACCCGGCTGGCGCTCGTCGCCGCTGCGGACATCCGCCTACATTATTTGGACGGAAAAATTCGTCGTGCTTTGCACTCGTAGGACCCCCGGAAGCGTGGCGGACGCGCGTGCGAGCGGGTCCGATCCAGGATTCCTTCGAAGTGGGGCCGCGCCAGCGTCCGCCGCGGACGCCCGTCCTCGTGTGCTCCGCGTCTGGACGCGTCGCCCTTCTTTGGGGGATGGGTGGGCGCGAGTGGGCGCGAGATACTTCCAGCCGAACGTATTAGGATACACTCGAAAAATGCCAACAATTTAAAGCGCAGCGACTTTCTTTTGGGTCAAAACACGTAATAGCAAATTTAAAATGTCACCAAAGGAAACTACTCGTGAGCATGCAACATAACCATACTTTCCAGTAGATTTCTAAATTGCGAACGTTGGTACCAAGCGGTCATTAGTAATGGTGCGGCTGGTTGGCATGTACCGCCACAACATTATGTTAGCTGAACAGAATCGAGCTTAGTCTTTAATCTCATTTTCCTGGCGATAGCCGTAATTAGATTTGCCACTTTAGACAGCGCACACCAAAATTGCATTGATTCAAAAACGGATTTCTACCTGTGGTCTAGTGTTAAAAAAAAGAAGAAAGAAAAAAAAAAAAAAATGCAAAAGGATTTCTATTGCTGAGCGAGAAAGCCCATCTTTCCTCGGTCAAGTGTATGTGATGAAGTATAAAGCAATTACTAGATCCTTGAATTCACACGTGGAAAGCAACGTTTCAGGTTGTATAAAGAAGCAAATCAAACAGGAACTTAAAAGTGTGTGTGTGGTTTTTTTTTTTATGTAATGAGATACTGTAAAACTACAAACCCACAAAAGATGTTGCCTAGTCCTATAAAGTTTTTTTTAAAAAAGTCAAACGTTTCAGATCACTTGAGGCTGAATTTACTTGCTTTCTACAAATAAATTTTCTTATACTTTTGTGTCATCGGGAAGGTGAGGTTCATGCACATCATTTTTTGTCAGCAAGCTTTCAGATTTGTTCAAAGAGAGGTTCCTGTATTTATAGAGAGAAAAAAAAAAGCCTTAAATTTAAGAAATGAAAGTACCACAAAAATGTAGCAAGCATATAGAATCTAGGACACAATAACAATAGTAAAGGCTAATGATTAATCACCAAACTATGAATCTTCTTAGGCTTTAAAGGAAGCAGAAACAAAGATTTTCCTCTTGGGGGGGAGAGAATGTGAAGAATCTATGAGTTGAGAGAGGTATGGAAATAAGAATATTGGAGGGAAGGTGGACCAGGACTGGAGTGAGGCAAGTGAGTTGTCTGGGGCTTCTTGAATTTTGCACTCTTGGCACCTCACATGCCTCATAATAACCCAGCCTGCTAGAGTCTCCTGTTACGGTGGGGTAGAGAGGCTACAGAGGCTCATCACTGCTAACAGTGGTGGGACAGTGGCCAGCCATGTTGCAGGTGCAGAAGAACTGAGGTAACAAGGCTGACCACTGCAGGCAGCCTGCTTGTCTTTACTGCTGCTACTCCAAGGAGCCTCTCTGAAGCCTCTGATGCTTACGGAGTAGTCCTAATTCCTAAAGGAAACTTGTACTTGCAGTTAAATTCAAAGTATAAAAATCTTAAAATTTCTAACATTACATAAATAATTAGTAACAGGTACCACTTATTTAGCACTTTATTATGCTAAGTCCTTAACAGGTATTTTCTTATTCAGCCTTTACAAAAACTCTGAGCATTTTACAGTTGAGAAAATAAAATTCAGAGGAATTAGATAACTTGTCCAAGGTCACATAGATAAGTGTCAGAGACAGTATTCAAGCCAGACAGATTGACCCTAACCTTGTACTCTTTACCGATACTATTCTTTTTAAGATTTGTATTTTATAATTTCCAAAACATTTTTAATCTACTGTCTCAATAAAGGGCATGCTCTAAGTGATGGACTCCCTGTTAACAATCCAAATACTATTTTCATAGTATATCTTTCTTAGGAGTTCTTAATTATCTAGTCTTCCAAAACGTACATGGCTTTACAGTGCTATAGATTTTATTTCACTGGATATGGTATATAAGTCTTAAAATTATCTTTTTTTCTAAATATGTCAAATAATTTACAATATTAACTTGTTAAGATTGTCTTCATAAGGCAAAATAATTATATAAGTGAAGAAAATGTTTTCTATATAAAATATTAAAATGTTTTATATGTATATAAATAGATTAATTGGTACTTTTTTTGCCTTTCAACTATTTATTGTTTAAATTAAGTTGTAATTTACATAGTTAAATTCACCTTTTGGAGTGTATGGTTCAGCAAATCTTGATAAACATATACAGTTTTGTAACCATCATCACAATAAAGATACAGAGAGAGCACTTCCCTCACTTCCTAAAATTCTCTTGTGCTGATCATTTGTAGCCAACCATTGCTCCCAGCCCCAGTAGTCCCTAGCAACTGCTGATCTGTTTTCTGTCTCTATGGTTTTGTCTCCCCAGAAAGTCATACAGATAGAAGCATACAATATGTAGCCTTTTAAGTCTGTCTTCTTTCACTTAGCATAATGCTTTTGTGATCATTCCATGCTTTTAAGTATATCAGTAGTTCATTCCTTTTTATTACTGAATGATATTCCATTACATAGATGTACCACAGTTTCTTTATCCATTCCCCAGCTGAGACACCTTTGGATTGTTTCCAGTTTTTGATGATAAGGAATAAACCATTTTAAACATTAAGGTACAGATTTTTGTGAGTATAGGTTTTCATTTCACTTGGGAAAATACCTAGGAGTGGGGCTGCTAGATGTGGTAAGTGTATGTTTAACTTTATAAGGATATGTCAGGCCTGGACAACATAGTGAGACCCATCTCTACAAAAAAATTTAAAAATTAGTCACAGGAGGCTGGGGCAGTAGAATCATTTGAGCCCAGGAGTTCTAGGTTACAGTGAGCTGTGATTGGGCTACTGCACTTCAGCCTGGGTGACAGAGCAAGACCTTGTAAACATAATTATTGTCCAAAGTGTCTATACCACCAGTCCCCAACCTTTTTGGCACCAGGGACCAGTTTCATGGAAGACAATTTTCTATGGACCGGAAGGGGGTACGGTGGGCAGAGTTGGTTTTGGGATGATTCAAGCACATTACATTTATTGTGCACTGAAACCTCTCTGCTAATGATAATCTGTATTTGTAACAACTCCCCAGCACTATCTTCCAGCGCTAGCATTCACCTCAGCTGCACCTCAGATCATCAGGTATTGGATTCTCATAAGGAGAATGCAACCTAGATCCCTTGCATTTGCAG